GTTCAGTGGACCAGCACCGGAAAGGATCAACGGAAGATTGGCGATGATAGGGTTTGTGGCGACAATGGCGGTGGAGCTGAGCAGTGGTCAAGATGTGTTCACACAGATCTCCAACGGTGGCGTGGCGGTGTTTGTGGTGACGAGCGTGGTGTTGTCAGTGGCGTCGTTGGTGCCGTTGTTGAAAGGGGTTAGCGTGCAGTCGAAGTCGAAGGGGATAATGACGTCGGATGCGGAGCTGTGGAACGGGCGGTTTGCGATGTTGGGTCTGGTGGGTTTGGCTTTTACGGAACTTGTTAAAGGCACTCCCCTTGTGTAATCATTTTTATAGTTATAAAACCAAAAATATTAAATTGGATTTTTTTATTTATCTGGATATTTTAACCTGTTATCCTAGCCGACTAATCACAAAGCGACCATCTGCTTTGTAAATAGTACGAAATCACCACATTTGAATCTCTGTGGCCACAAGGTGATTTTTATTCTTACTTGTATTTAAACCTGGGACCTCCAGATAGTTTTTGACCTTTGAAAACAATTCAAACCAATCAGACACCACCTCAATGGTTTAAATTGCATTTTTGTTTATAATGTATTTAATTATATTAAATTGTTTATCGCATCAACAATAATTAACTTGTCAAACTGTCAACACGTAAACTAATATGATTGAAATTGGCTTAGACGTAGCGCAATCCAACCTGCTGCCAACCCGTCATTAATATTTATTTAATCGACTTCATAATAATGAGTGGGGTGGATTCAAAAAGGTAACTCGTGCGATCGCCTAGGGCAACAACCACCGAAGGGGTAACAAAGATGTACGAGTCTAGGAGAGGTTTCAACAAAAAAATTGAGAGGGAACATTTAGAAGATATCGACACCCGACACAGAGTTGTAGAGTGGCAATTGAGTTTCTGAAGTTCCGGTGTGATTGAGACGCCATTGAACATTGAGGCCAACGATGTTTAGTGGAGACGGATTGACATTTGACGGTGGATACTTTAGGTGTCGGCATAAGATGTTGTGTTTGTATTTGTGGTGGAGAAACGATGAGGTATCTTGGAAGAATCGATACAGGATACAGGAGCTATAATGAAAACATGTCGTCTCAATCGATATCTTTTTAGAAAAAGTTTCACATATTTTTTAGTTGTTTTTTTATAAATATGGTTGAATTTAGGGGTTGTTTACCAAATGCTTATAGACAAGAGTCATCACTCTAATTTACTTTATGGGTAACATTATTGGCCATTCAAAATGGATTTAACAGTAAGCGTTTATAAGCTGATAAGTATTTACCGGGTAAGATTCTCAGTCCTATTGTAAATTTCATTAGAGAAAAGACAATGATCGAGAGTTTTACGTGGTAAGTGAATGTGATGACTCTTACCCGGTAAGAACCTGTTGGATATGATCTAATGTAAGAACTTTTTCCTGCTTGAAGCAGTATGCGTCTTAATTGCCTTGGAGCATCTTCAAGAGATTATATAAAATAGAGAAAACGGAGATTTTGAGCATATTTTTGCACCAATATGAGAGGGTGTAAATTTCTTAAAATTGGAGAACTCCTAAAAAATGATTACAATAAGAGAGAAACATTTTTTTATTATATTAACACAAATAGAAATCCTTGATGTTAAATGTTTATGAGAGATAAAAAATATTTTATTTATATATAGAAATTATTTTATAATATAATTAATGTTTTAGTCTTCAAATAAAGAATCTGTTTGGAGATGAATGCAATTTTTTTTTTTTGGAGATTTTAAGTTTTTATTTCTCTATTTTGAAGAATCCATTAAAGATTCTCTTTACAATCTACGAACCATTAAACTCCTTGTTGCAAAACTTCTTAAGTTTAACCGCCCCTCCAATTAGGCTCCTGTAGTTGAGAAATTGGTCTCAACGACTCCCAATAATCCAATCAATGAACAATTATAGAAAAAAGAAAACAACAAGAATTTACAAGGAAACTTTCAAATCAGAGAAAAACAATGATTTAAAGAGAAAATTCAGCACACAATTCTATACTCTCAAGCCCTCCTGAATAATACCTATACTCTCACAGATTTAACTCACATCTTTCTACTCTATAAAAAAACACCAAAGGCGTGGACCCCGTTTATAGGCATGTAATCTCTTTTAACTTTCATTGCTCCACCAAAAATCTGCGATATAAAGCCTCAATCTATTTCTCGATTAAAACAAAAATCTAGGCTATCAAATAAAATTTCTAATTGCTTTAATGTTTCATGCTAGTGAAAAATAGTTAAATATTAATTATTATTTTTCTTTAATATAGAGTTTTAGAGATTTTTCAAACTTAAAATTTTTCACACACTGTATGTTCTTTTCTCTATTTTAACATAGTTGTTGGACCAAAAACACCTTTTAAATCTCTAAAATTTCTATTTTTGCATGTCCACCGGAGATACTTACATTTCTTACACTTTTGACCCTTTATAAAACTACGGTCTGTTTGTTAACAGATTAGTGAGTTTAATGAGAATCAACTTATTTTGGCAGCTATATATAATTATTTCATAGTGGCTTATTGATATATAGGTGAGTTATTCAGTAAGCTTCTGGAGCTTTATATACAAAACCGAGTTTATTTCCAAACATGTCCCTCTCAATTAAAAAACAGCTCACTCCATCTATGAAAAAATCCCTTAAATAGAAACTTTCTTAACCAATACATACATATTAATCCACACAGACAGTTTTATTTTTATAAGAATTAAATGGAAAACCAAAACCCAACCAAACAAGCCATTAATTTGGTTACAAACATTATTTCTAGGCAAATCTTTATCTTTATCTTATATATATATATATATATATATATATATATATATATATATA